ATTTAGGGATACGGTTTAGTGGTGGACTTGGCTGTGTTAGATTTGTGGTTGGACTCGATGACATTAGAGGTATTTTCCAACCTAAATTATTCTATCTATTTTATTGGTGTTGACTTGTTTGCATCTGACTCTTCCCATAATACATCTTTAATATAATTTTATTAGTGACATTATTTTTGTGTCAGAATGCATCAAGCTTCCCTCTCCCCCCTTGGGCTCTCTGTAATCCAGTTTTAGATTTAGGTCGTGGCCTTTTCTGCATTTGGGATATTTACTGTGCCATACCTCATGTTACCTGAATTATGTTTCTGATCTGTTGTACGTTTGTCAAATTAAATTGACTGTTAGATTTATTGACCGAAAGTAATTCAGATTGTGCAAGTATAATTTTCCTCAATGCAAAAGGCTTGAAAATAAGTTCCAAGTTGGACCCTTTCAGTCAATGCAACATATTGATCTGTCATAGCAGATATGCTAATCTGGAAACTATTTCGATTCCCTGACAAACCTTGAGGTGAAATTGGATTACTGCTTGACAAAGGTGACATCATTAACATGTACCTCCTTTTATTATTTTTTTTCCTTCTAAAGAAAATTCTTTAGCTGAGGAAAACACTGCTTTTTAAAACCCCCTTCATTGGAAGGAGTGGAGGGGGAGAGAAAGAGACTTTGGAATCAACGACTATACCTGTTTAGCCCAATCAAATGAGGCCTTAATGAACAGCCTTTCTGAACAAACTAGCCTCTCAGTAGAAGAAGTTGCGAGCCTCAGTTCTTTTGCAGAATCATTTTAATTTTTTTATTTTTTTTAAAGTGTGATAGTTAATTTTGAAGCACATAGCAGCATGGCTTTATTCAGCAGGTCCAAGGTTTTAGAAGTCTGGGACTCTCAAAAGTGTAAAAGATGTGCTGTGGTACTGTGCTACCTCAGTCTATTGAAAGCTCTTGCATTCACTCTTCTGGTTTAGGACTTTGTAAAAAGAGGAAATCAATTGAATAATGGAAGATATTATACCTGTTCTCTATGTATACATTGACTGAGCAAGAAACTTCTGAAATCTGGGACAGGGTGGGGTAAAAAGCAACTGCTTTCCACTTCCTTTGTATGATCCCTCCCTTCCCCTTAGAAATGTTTGGAAGTCATTAAAGTGAGTGCTAGATTATGTGACTTCCAAATGCACTTTACTGGGAACTATGTCTTGTAGACCGCAGTCCTCAAAAGATCAGCTTCAGTTTCCAGCTCAAGTTAGAGGTGTTTTTGTTAATTTCAGTATACCATTGACCTGTCTTCAGTGACTTTCAGGTTATGTTTTTGATTAAGTTCTTTAGGAAATTTATGAGTCAAGAAGGGTTGCTTGTTTACACCAATCTGTTAAAAACAGACAAATTAACACTTGCATTTAAGATTGTCTATAAATCAAAGAAAGATGTAGTTAAGAGCAAAAGCACTTCTATTTCTCTGGCATGGAGTAGAAAGGTAAGACCGATCTGTGTCAATATCTTTAATTACAAAGTGACTGAATTATTGCTGCAGTTACGCTGCAGTGTAAGACCTTGAATCTAAATTAGTCTTTTAAAGAAATGATTGCTGAACAGATGTTACCTAAAACACTTTATTGCAGCTTTGTAAAATTGTAAATTCCTCATGCTGTTATTTTTGTTGGCATGAATTAACACTGTGGGTTAAGATATTAAATTTTAGTGCTGTGTTCTAGCAGCTTGTTATATGATCTTACCTGTAAGCACCAATTTTGAGTTTAACTCATCAATGTCTAAAGAATATCACTGTGTAGAAACTGTCATGTTAAGATAGTTTTGTCCCTGATTGCTTTTCAGACTGCTTTCCAAGCAAGAGAGAGAGTGTGATAAAGCCATTAACTAAATGCTGAAGTAGTATATTGGAAATTAAAAGCAAGAAATGCTGTGGGGTTATACAGCAGTTTCTAAATTGCACTTACAGACTGAGGTAGCAAAATTACTGAGGGAATGTGGTGATCCTGAAGTAATAGCATTCACTGTAATCATCCAATTAGCATTTCTCTGACTGAGTCTACAGGTTTCCTTGCGATTCTTGCTTCGATCTTCTACTTGTGTTTCTGCTGGATAATATCCTTTGGGGCAAAACCAGCTAGTGTTGAATCTTTTTTGGTGGTAAAATTAATGGCAATGGATTCTTCCTCACTTTGTTATTTAAAAAGATACAGAGGGGATTATGTGATTGTATGTACATCCCCAGTCTTCATTTGTCTTGTTTCAGTGCTTGGGCATAAGTTGGCCAGTTCTTCTAAAACTTACTGCATCTTGCTTAAACTGTTCTTTTTCCTTTTCTTTTCTTTTTTTTCTCCTTTTCCCATAGCTACATGTAGGCTGTAAGCTCTTCGTAATGTATCAAATAAACTGTATGTGTGTGGTGGTTTGGAGGAGGTGTTATATGTGATTTTGTTTGTTTGTTTTCATGTGCATGGAAGGCAAAAATGAAGATTCCAAAGGGATATAGACACTGGGCTGTGGGATTTGTAATTTTTGTATAAACTGAAGTACTTCAAGGCAGCGGAGGACATGCATGTTGAAATTGTTTAGCTATCTGGGATCCTGTTACTTTGCACGCCTTAAACTCCTCTCATATTGGCAGAGGTTTATGATGGTGTCCTTATCTAATTCCATTTATGATCAACAGATCATAGTTTGTATCTCTCTCTGTCATACTAGCAATGCCCATCTCTACTAGGCATGATCTGAGTTCAAGTACCAAATGCTGTGTTTAAACAAGCTGCTTTAATTCAGAGAGGTAGATGAGCAATGCCACTTTGTGGTTACATGATGGTGAAAAGAACACTTTTGAGAATGAAGATGCTGCTGCTTTTGTTAGTGTACCAAAAGTTAGATAATACAGACTACACCCACTATTGAACTAGGGTAGTTTTCATCGGTTCCAGGCTACACTGGTGTATAGCACTGGTGGAAAAAAGTCTAAAGACGTGAGATCAAAGTCCTGTGTGAGATGTCATTCTCCTGAATTCTGAACCTGTTTGCCTGAACTGCTTGTCCGGCATCGAGAGAGAATTTGGTTTATAAATATGCATGTGCAAAGATAGAGAAATACATGTAATGACACAAGAGATCAGACTAGTACTGTTGATCCAATTAAGTGGTATTTCTCAGACAGTTTCTTCACTGTCTCTAGCTGGAGTTGACTGGTGTAAACAGTGTAAACTTGAGGCAGTGTCTCAAGTTGTTAAACTCTGTCTCCCAGATGAGCTTCCAGTATGTGCTACTGTTTGGCTATGCAACACAAGATCATCATCTTGTGTATAACAATAAAATTCTATACTGCGAGCATCTATGAAGCCAAATAGTATTTGTCTTCCTTTCCCTAGCTGGGTGGTGTGGAAGTTACACCAGGTATGGCTTCATCATATATGACCTTTTCAAGAGACACAGTAGTACTCTTTCTGTTTTGTGAGCAGTCTTCTTGTCGCTGTGCTTGTGTTGTGAACCTATTGTGTCCTGTTGTACCTTTTGGTCTCTGCCTGAAGCTCTCAGTGTCTTTGGTGTGTTTGAGATTAGGCCTTTCTACGGCTTACCAAGAACACCGTACCACACGCTGCATGTATGTGTATATATATCTTCTGTCTAACGAAGCAAGTTATTTAACAGTATGTCTGAGGGACATCATCTTCAGTCAGGGGTAATTCTGTGTCAGATTGCTTGTTCTAGTCAAAAATGATGCATCTATGCACTTCTTCTTAGCTGTGACTTAGCTTTAACTGAACTGCTTCTACCCCATTACAAAACACAATTACCTCTTCCTCCATGTCCCAGACTCAAAACTGTTACCTTGCAAATTCTAATTTTAAAATGTTAGTTGTTTTTAAAAGCATTTGTATAGCTGAAGGCTAAGCAATGGTGCTACTTCTGCTTTTCTAACTGTAGGTGCTACTGATAAATCTGTACTTCTGAACTGTCCTAATTAATTCCTTCCATCTCTTCATGCTTTTTGTATCTATTTGACTTGAAAACAGTGTGTCAGCATACTTAAAATATTGTTAATTTGTTTTTCAATTTTGCAAGTTTACTTCCTACATGATAACCAGACTAGAAGAATGCTTGTATATAGCTCCTATGTTTTCAAAGCAGTAGTTTCATTTTTCTGAAGTAGTTCATGGAAGGTGCAGAATAGCATATTAATATTTTCATCCATTGCAGATCAGTATTCTGTAAGCTTGTTTAATGTTTTTAGCAGTGACTGAATATTACAGAAATATTACTTAAGCCAGATTTATTTACCTACAGGCCTATGTGTAAGGCAGCCTTTTCGCTTAGGCAGAATAAGTCTTCTGTGAACTGATATATGCAGGCCTGAAAATAGAAATGTGTTCCTGTGGTAGTAAAGCACTTCAGCCTCCACCTGGTCTTTACCTGATTCCTAGTCTATTTATTTTTCCCATTATTAGAAATGTGCTTGTTTTGTTTGGCCTGACAAGAATAAAAATATGCTTCTGTTCTTGAGTCACAGCACTCCTCTAAATGTAATGCCATTAAAACATCCAGCGTGGTAAGTTGTTTGGTTTTGGTTTTTTTTTGTTAAGACCATGTGTAATGTTTCACATTTCTATATCCCCTGGTTCCTTGAATGCTGCAGAAGACCAGTAAAGTTGGCAACTGATTTAACTTGGTACAGCCTTGTCAGAAGAGAAGGACTTGTTGAGGGAGAGAGGAAAAGATAATCCCAGTTCTTATGTTTTAACTAGCTTCTCTGACTGAGAAGTATTATAACGTAAAATTAACCAAATAAGTCTTGAGAGATGACTCACTGTGAGTCATTCAGTCTTTTAATATTGGAGTGCTAAAAGATCTGATGTTAGGTTGTAGTTCACATGGAGTTTCTTCTTTTGTAAAGAAGTCTCCAGATAAATGTTACCAGTGTTGATATTTGGTGCTGGTTAAGTAGGTTCTTACTGAAGAACCTACTTTTAGCACTTACTTTCTAACCAGACTCCATGACGTGGTCTGAAAGAGATGCTGGTATTTTCAGCCTTCAGTACTATAGGCAGCCGGTAAGATCAAGACTTATGGAGGAGACTCATGTCTTACATTGAGTTTGCTGTGTTTGTATATTGAGTTTGCTATACCATTATGGTGTCTTTGATTGGTTGCATGATATTCTTTTTCACTAATTAGTCAATTACCTCGGTCAGGGACATCTTCTGATATACAAAATGGGGAACCTTTCATCCTTTGCCACAAAATATTTCTAATATCCAAGCTAAACCTGTTGTGGTGCAACTTGAGGCCATTTCATCTTGTCCTATTGCTTGTTACCTGGGAGAAGAGACTGACCCACACCTTGCTATAAGCTCCTTTCAGGTAGTTGTAGAGAGCGATAGCTAAGTATTGTTGACCTAGTGAAGACAAAGCAAGAGTACCAAAATCTCATTGATTTGGATATAGCTGTTGACAGTTGCTGTAGCTGTTGCCAAGGTTTGTGCACTAAGCAGTGATGGTAGTCTAAAATGGTGTAAGAGTTTATTTCATTAGGTATGTAACTTCATGTTCTTCAGACTTATCTGCCAAATCTGTTCTCAGCCTCTTCATAAAAACTGTATGTGGGATCCTTGAAACACTGACTCATCAGTCCCCAATGTTCTGTGCTGCTCTTTGGTTTTGTGCAAGAGCTGTCCATCCTACCACTTGCTGTGTTTGTGACTGTGCAGTGCAGAGCAGATTTTGGTTTAGGAACTGCTGTTTGGAGTGTTCTAGAGATTGTTTGGATGTTACTATTATTAAATGCATATGTCAGTTTCTGCTCATTGCTTTGTGCTCTGCTTGCCGCAAGGGCATTGCTTGAGAGTATTCAACAGTGTTAGTTGTTTGAGTGTTACAGCTTGACAGATAGTTTTGAACTTCTGAGGAGCAACATGTTCTTCTGTGCATTTTAAAATCTCTGGACTGATTTCTTGTTGGTGTCCCCATAGCCATCAAAATGGCAAGAAGACACAAGTCTAGTAGCTGAATTATGAGCAGGTTGTCTGTTCTAATATATTTAGCTATAAAATATAATAAACCACATTTTTTTAAAGCTGTGCTTGGTTTATATTCTCCTGGTATTATTCTACCTGAGGATCAGATTAAAGATTTTTGAATCCACACTCTATTGCCTGTGTAACTTGCTGTGCACTGTAAACCAGCAAGGTACAATTTGCCAAGAAACTATTACTTAATTTCAAGTGTCATGATTCAACACTGCTGAACTTGCATCTAATTTTGAATAAAAGTCACTATAAGTGAGTTTTACTTTTTTGTTTGATTTGTTTGGTGTTTTTTTTACTACACAATTTTCACATGACTGGTTTCCTGTTTAATTTACAGCACGTAAATATCAAGACACTGACAGATGATATGGTAAGACAACTTAAGTTTTGCTTTGGCTATGCTAAGCAAATAACCTTACTGCTAATGCAGTAGAAATAACCCTATAGATACAAGAAACTGTCTTAATTTTGAAGTTAATTACTTGCCAAAGTCTCACTAAACTGGTAATTATCTGTAACATAGTGTGTGTGGCAAAAATGTATGGATGGCTTTGAGGTATGCTCTAATCACGGCTAAATGTTCTTGACAGGTAATTGTGCCAACTTACATGCTGTCTAGTTAAGATATCTGTGATTGCATGTTTAATGTTAAGGTTATTTGGGCTGCACGGCTAGCTTAAAATACAATGTTTAACAAACTAACAGTTGCTTGTGAAACTCATTCATGCTTGTTCGACCCACTTAGTTGTGCTCAGTGTCATGCTAATGCTGTGTTTCTCAGACTTTATCAGAGATAACGTTTTGTATCAGATCACAAAGCAGATTTTTTTCTTGCTCTTGAAGTTACCTATTTAATTGCCTGTACTATTCTTTTGTAGGTAAGAGTATTTTTTCTTAAAATACACCATTTTACAAAGTCTTTGATTTTACCTAGGAGGCAATGTTCTGTCAGTGTGTAAAGATCAGCTGTTAAGACTTCGGTGCTATACTGAGTTCTTGCTGGAGTATTTCTGTGCATAACTGAAAGCTTAAGTGTAGAAGTATTTATACTGGACAGTGCAACGTGCCCTGAGAAACATGGCTGTTTGCTAGCTTAGGAACCAGTTGTCAGGTTATTGTTGATTAGGTGTGTAAATTTAGTAGTCTTGAGCATGTTGCTTCTGTCATTCCTAGATTGACTTAAATAGCCTATTACTATAGCAGAGAGTTTCATTGGATGGAAATGGTTATTAAGATATTGGAGTCTGAGAGGTTGAGAATGCAGCTTTCATTCTATAAACTTGTGTTTATCTTGGAGAGCTGAGGAAATGTTCCCAGTCCTTTCAAAGCATAAGTATTTTTTTGCAATCAGAACATAACTCCGGTAATGTCATGTAAGGGCTATAGCCTGGATGAACGAGATCTTGTTTGTTTTTCTGAGGTGTTGTTTTTCCTTTTCCAGTGTAACAGGCAAGCTTCCTGCCTTATTGCACTTGTCCTCTCTGTAGCTGTTGGACTTGGCCAGCTTGTAATGGTGGCCCCTAGGAGTCAGCAGGTTTATTGTGTTTTTTTCAGAGTAAGGTAGCTGATAGCTCTGTAGTAAGCAATCTTCTGCCCAGCTCCTTAAATTCCTCCAAGCATACCAAAGGCCCCTTCACAGACTAAAAAAACATCATCTGCAGAGCAGTGCCAAATTGTTCATATGTGTATATATTTTTAAAAGGGGAAATGGCAGCTGTTTAGTAAAAGGCTAACAGGAAAAAAAAACAAAATTGAAAAAAATCTTGGATTTTGTAGTGTTGCATACTTTTAAAAGGGGGTATTCTGTTCACTTGCAACATCATCTTGGAACAAGGGTATGCTTTCCAATGGACACTTTTTATCCTTCTGAGTTTCCTTTTGGTTTAGCCTTTGTGTCTGATTCTGGGAAACAGCTAATAATACTATGTGTCTCTTTTGTACTATGATTTTGTTGTCCTAGGCAGCTTAAATGTAGCTTAGAGCAGGGCAGTTTTGATGTTTCCTAGCAAGGACAAAAGTGGACAAATGCATTTTCTCCAAATTCCTTTTGCGACAAGGGTGAAATTTGTAGTAAGAGAAGATTAAGCAATTGAAGGTTTAAGATTACTTGATTTTGTAGCTTTCAATGAAATAATATATTTCCTTCTTCTCAAGGACAATCATTTGCATGTTAACTTGGTCTCTGTTGCATTATGCTTTATAAAATATTCATGTTTTATTACTCCCAGCGTGTTTCTTAAAAATACAGTGTTGTGTAATGGTGACCAGGAACTTTTCTTTGCTTTTAAATTCAGGTAAGTTAGCAAAATGTTGATAATCTAAAATGCAGACCGCATTTGATTTGAATTGGGTTATTTACGAGATGCTGATGAATTGTCTACTTTTAGTGACAAATCCTCATGAAGTTCAGAAACACCTTAGTTTTTACACAATCAACATATGCTTCTTTTAGCTTGTTTGTTTGCAAATTATGAAGAGAGGAATCTTATTCCACAGAGGAGTAGCAAGTAGGCACCTGAGACGTTATCTACTTTTAAGGTCACTGTGAAGCAAGCCTCTCAAGTGCTCTACATTTCGTCAGTCTTTCAAGATCTAGTCCAACTGTCATTGTAGCACCACAATAATCACCTATAAACCGTATCCCAGGATTCCACATCCAAATGCCTCTTGAACTCTACCGGAGATGGTGACTCCACCACCTCCCTGATCAGCTTATTTCTATGCCTAATGACTCTTTCAGAGGTGTTTTTTTGTTATTGTGGGTTTTTTTTCTTACTATCCAATCTGAACGTCCCCTGGCACAGCTTAAAGCTGCTTTCTCTCATCCTTTCACTTGAGACAAAGCAGAAAAGACTGACCCCTACTTTGCTCAAGGTGTGGCATTACCAGTGCGAAGTACAGTGGGACAATCACTTCCCTGGTTCTGCTGGCCGCACTATTCTTGATACAGGACAAGTTTCCGTTGGCCTTCTTGGCCCCCTGGGCACACTGCTGGCTTATACTCAGATCACTATTGACCAGCACCACCAGGTCCTTTTCCTCTTAGCAGCTTTCTAGCCCATAATGATGTATGGGTTTGTTGTGACCCAGATGCAGAACCTGGTACTTTGCCTTGTTGAACATAGTGCAGTTGTCCTCAGACCATAAATCCAGCCTGTCCAGATCCCTCTGCAGGGCCTTTCTGCCCTTCAGCAGGTCCACACTGACACACACCTTGGTGTCATCTGTGAATTTACTGAGGGTGCATTTGATCCCCTCATCCAAATCATTGATAAAGATATTAAACAGGATCAGCCCAATGCTGAGCCTTGGGGAACTGCACTAGTGGCTAGCAGCCAATTTGATGTAGCACTGTTCACTACCACTCTGGGCCTGGCCATCCAAACAGTTTCTCACCCAATGAAGAGAGCACCTGTCCAAGTCCTGGGCAGCCAGTTTCTCCAGGAGAATTATGTGGGAGATGAAGTAAAATTCTTTACTGAAGGATAGGGAGGCAAGGTCCACAGTGTTCCCCTTATCCACTAAGTGGGTCACCTTGTCACAGAAGGAGATTAGGTTGGTCAAGCAGGACCTGCCTTTTCTAAACTTATGTTGGCTGGGCCCGATCCCCTGGTTGTCCTGTTCATGCAGTGTGATGGCACTCAGGGTTATCGGCCCCATGACCTTCCCCGATACATAGGTCAGTCTGACAGGCCCCGGATTTCTTGGATCATCCTTCTGCTGCTTCTTGTAGATGGGCCTTATATTTACTTATTTCCAGTCATCTGGGACTTCTTTGGATAACTAACCTCTGCCTCAGGGCTGGCAGAGAGAGTGGCTCCAAATATTGTGTAAGGCTGATAAAAGTTAAGAGCACCTGTGTATTAACAGAATTTATTAAAAGGTATGTTATGCAGACAAAAATGCAATAAATACTAAAATTCCTTATAGCATAAAATTATCCTGTCTGATTTCCTTGCCACTGCTTTAAAGATAAGAAAGGCTGTATAATTTTTAGTATATAGAGAAACAAGACTCAGAGTGACATATTTTCTGCACATTTAAGATGTGACTGTGCATAGGCCTGGCTCTGTAAATTTTAGAATGGTAAAGTCATCTCTGTGAGTTTGAACATATTAAGAATAAGAAGTCATCTAATGAAAGGGATTCTTCTGTGTATCTTGGCCTTTAGGAAGAGCAAGTCTGGCTCTTCCTGAAGTCTCTACTGCTACCAGTGGAATTTCTCACATAGTAAGAAGTTAATCTTGTAGAGCAATTTGACTGTCAAAGGAAGAAAATACTTTTTTAATCTTCTGGAGCTTCAAGAAGGAAAAAGATATTAAGCGGTCTTTGACTCAGAGTCATGGATGTAACTTCTTTGATCTTCTATGAAGTATTTCTATTGGTAAGGGAAAAGAGTAGGTTGTTTTAAGTTCCAAAGATACTGAAATAAATGGTTGCAATCCAATTTCTCCTGTGTGTTCCCCATCTGCTAAGAATAATAATTATTTCAAATGAGGACACTGGCTTTGTTCCACTCTGTATTCTCCTTCCTTACTGTGTTGTTCATGTTCTACTAAGTCTTTATCACGTATCAGCATCAGGGTGTTACATCAGACTTACATGACTGACCTATTGGCATCTATGGCTGAAATGGCTGGCAAAATGTCTGGGAGATTGAACTATGCTGCAGTACTTGAGCAGATTTTTCAGATGTGAAATTGTGTTTATGAAGTATATAAAGAGCAGGCAGTCAAAAATGTGAACTTGAAAATTGAGGGTGGCAGGAATTTTTGTCCTACGTATCTATAAGGCAGAGTGAGCAGGGCACATGGAGGAAAAGCAAAAGCTATGAGAAGTACTCTTGGCTTTAAGCCTTCAGTCAGGAAATGCATTTTTTGTACCTGTATATTTCATATCAGAACTCTGCTAATAAATTGTGCATGGTGATCATCATCAGTGTCTTGATGGTCCATATACATATGTCAATCTGTGTGTTTCTGCATGAGAATGGGAGTGTGGAGAGGAAGAAAGAAGACTGTTCAGTACCCCTGTTAACACAGTTTAGGCTAAACCATAACAATTCTGTGGCCTTGTCTGTCTATAATGAGGTCTCAGAAGCTGTGTACTCAGAAAGACAATCTATGAGGGAGATATCTTCCCTCCTTGTTTCCTTCACTTTCCTCCAGGCTGATTACAGTAGCATTTGAGAATTTTAAAGATTTTAAATATCCTGTGAATACCCTTGAAACTAACCTGGTCCTTTTCTAGGAAGCAGCATGTTGCTGCATATGGTTCAGGTCTTGTTTAAGGTCTGACAGTTAATTAAGAATATCACACAGAGTTCTGCCCAAAAGCTGGATAGTTCAGAGTGGCAGGGTGTGTGGGATA